GAGGGAAAGAGCAGAGAGAAGGGAGAGAGGAGCATTAGACGTACGTTCATGTAGATACAGCTAGTTAAACAAGAGTCACATAGACATTGAACAGTTATGTATAGTCTTCTTCTTCTTGGGTCACTACACTACGCTCGGCCTAGCCACTGCAGCACACAGGCACGGTGGTTGAAAGCCTCGAGGTTTCCAGGTCTACAGGGTGTTATGTAGAGTTATGGAGAGCTTAAGTTAAAATGCTAAAAGCTTTTAAGTAATGCGATAAACTTAAAACTTGCTTTAACGTGCTTTTAACTGATCATTTTCAACACGACCACTTCTTACACACGGTATTATCAACCCGTCATGAACCCGTCATCCTACCTCGCGTGTAGGAGCCATTCGCTGACACATCCTCAACTGTCTTCTGTTTCGGACTGCCACCCCCGCCGCCCCCGCCCCCGCCGCAGCTCCGTGCCATCATCTGCTCCGTGTTCGCGTTGTTGTTTGCGTTCAGCGGCGCCCCCTTCTGGCCACGCTGGCTTCCCATGAGGCTGCCGCGGCGTCGGAAGAGGCTGCCCATCCATCCGGTCTTCAGCGATTCGATGAGTGTCGTCTTGCCGACTCCGCTGCTGCCGAACACCTGAGGATGAGGATGGGAAGCGGTGAAGCAGTGAAGCCATAATCATATGAGTGCAGCGACCCAGGAAAGAGAAGATGCTGATGTTTTGTCTGGCTGGCTTAGGCTACACTCGAAAGCAACGCGTCACTGTGACCAGGGGTGAATAACGACAATTTTGTTAACAAATAATTTAATTGTTTCATTAATTTAGGACAAAATTTACTTTAATGACAAATTCTTTTGTCATTATTCACTTCTGCTGTAACTCATCCGATTTTTCTCATTAGCTATGAGTGAAACCAGTTACAATACTATGTACATAATAGCAAAATGGTAGGATTGGCTCCAGTCATCTACCATTAAATTTCATTTAATGCCAAATAAAAACATTTAAAAAATTAATTTTGTGACAAATCTTTTGTCAATATTCACCCCTGCTACATTATGTTGATCATAGTGAACGAAATCAATTACATGTAATATTATGTACAAACGAGCAAAAGTGTAGGATTGGCTCCAGTCACCTACCAACTGCAGAGATGCTAAATTGGGAGCTACTGCACACCAGAAATCATAGAAACTGACTACACCACATACTAGCTTGTAATTGTAAACCAAAACATGTTTTTTGTGTGAATTTTGCGGCATAAAAAGCACTGCTAAAAATACAACTATGTTTCCGAGTCTGCCTTTTAAGTTCTAACTCGAGTTAAAGCGTCGAGGGACGTGTGTTTCTACTGCGCACTAGCTTTTCTCGAACAAAACAACAAAAAACAAAACAGAGTGCAGATACAGCAACCACCGGACCATGAAGAATACTGATGGATGGACAGTCACAATATTTTGACAGCTTCTATTCTTCACACGACTGACATGAAGTTGTCATTTTCAAGTACACGTGACACCTCAAGGGCGACCCCAACGACACGGCCGACAATGCTATATCAACACCCAACAACTGTAATTTTGTAGTTAAACGCCACTATATTGACATAACCACTAGCTTCGACTCGTTTCCTATTGTGCAAGCTAGGAATACTCTGCTAATCTAGATAGGGGAACTTTTAGAATACTATGAGTGTGCGTGTGTGCATGCGTGTGTGTGCGCGTGGTGTGCGTGTGGGCGCGTGTGCGTGTCTGTGTGTGCATGTGTGCGTGTGCGTGTGTGCGTGTGTGTGTGTGTGTGTGTGCGCGTGGTGTGCGTGTGGGCGCGTGTGCGTGTCTGTGTGTGCATGTGTGCGTGTGCGTGTGCGTGTGTGTGCGTGTGAGTGTGCATGTGTGTGCGTGTGCGTGCGTTTGCGTGTGTGTGCGTGTGAGTAGGCGCTGCTCCTATTAATCTAGTTTTAGTTCACTCACATATAGTAGCATCAGGCCAGCTACAGGTCTGACCGCAGACTGGGGAGTAGAGTGAATCTAACATTATGCGTGGCACTCCTCTGGGACTTTACTACGCACTAGCTCCTTCTCTCTCTCTCTCTCTCTCAAGGGATCAGAATAAGGACGGAGTGTCGGCAGGAGATATGGCTCTTCTAGGGCTTCACGGAGATCGGTTGACTCTCAACAAATGACGTCAGATGAGCAGTCAGAGATGATACATCCAGCAGCTGGTGCATCTACACAGCCTCTCAGCAAGATCAAAGCTGAAAGGTGAAGAGAGGGGGGAGGGAAGGGGGAGGGAGGGGGAAGGGGGAGAAGGGGAGAGCGAGAGGGAGAGGGGGAAGCGTGGAGGAGAGCGAGAGTAGAAGAGGGGGAGAGAGGGGAAGGAGGGTGAGCGAGAGGTAGAGAGAGGAGAGAGGGGGAGAAGGGGAGAGGGAGAGCGAAGAGAGAGAGGGGAAGGAGGGTAGCGAGAGGTAGAGAGAGGAGAGAGAGGAGAGGGGGTAGATGGCGTGCGGAAGGGGGAAGAGACAGTGGGAGGGAGGGGAAAGGAGACAGATGGGCGGGAAGGAGGAGAAGAAGTGGAGAGGGAGGGGAAGGGAGGGAGAGGGAGGGAGAAGTAGAGGGAGGGAGAGAGCGAGCGATGCCCGAGCGAGCGAGAGAGAGAGAGAGAGAGAGAGAGAGAGAGAGAGAGAGAGGAGGAGATGAGAGAGGGTATGAGGGGAGAGAGAGGAGGGAAGAGGAGAGATGAAGAGAAGGAAAGAGGAGAGAGAGAGAGAGACTGGAGAGGAGAGAGAAGAGAAGAGCAGAAGAGAGAGAGAGGAGAGAGAGAGAGAGAGAGAGAGAGAGAGAGAGAGAGAGAGAGAAGTAGAGAGAGAGAGCAGGAGAAGAGAAGAGATGGAGAGAGAGAGAGAGAGAGGTAGAGAGAGGAGACGACGAGAGAGAGAGGGTGAGAAGGAGAGAGAAGAGAGACGAGAGAGATGGAGAGAGACGTAGAGCACGAGAGAGGGAGAGCGAGAGAGCAGAAGAGAGAGAGAGGAGAGAGAGAGAAGAGAGAGAGAGAGAGCGTGAATGCAGGGAAGAGAACAGTAAAGAGGGTGAGAGGGAGAGACTCACTTAGTGTGTTTCTGTATTGCTCGCAGTCATGTTAATTCAGGTTTCCCCTGACTTCATTGCTGAGAAGGTGTTAACTGGCTAGCAATACAGTTCTATCACATAGCAAACATGCAACACCTGCTCTACGAATGAATGAATATATACGAGTCGCGTGCACGCACGCACTGAGGGCGGACTGCACGCACAGCGCAACCGCACGCGGTTACGCTCACACACACACTGAGCACGGTCGCGCAGCTAACGATAGTCGGTGGCATACTACAAACTAGCTGTTTAACCTATATTTCTCTATATAACTATATATCTATATTATATTCCCATAAAAAACGGCTATAACTTTTTTCTACTTATACGCTGTACATTTTTAGCAAGAGTTTAATAATACATGCCTGATAGCTGGGCTCTGCTTGCTGCTGCTGATACATTATGTTTGCTAGTGATTAGACACGCGCTAAAATTCCGAGACTGTTCGCTGGCAGCAATTGATCGTGCCGGCCGCCTTTGATGTTGCGCCACGATCAGAAGCTGCCAGCGCGTGATACTTGTAGGAGTTCGGCGCGTCGCGTGCGCCTTGCGCGGAACTGCGCGCAAGATTCGCGGCTTAGCGGGCAGGAATACCTCTCAGGCGACGCTTCTCGTGGTATCCGGTCTTTCTTCTCTGGATTTTAGTATATAATGTACAAACCTGTGGCATGAACGTAGTTAGTGTTAATAGTGGCATCGTTGTATGGCCACAGGGTGGGCATATAGTCCACGAGCCAGCTGTTGAAATGTAATGTAAGCGTTTATGGGCTGATGTGTTGGTGGGTGTTCCATATATATAACATCATAATATATATATATATATATATAATATTATATATATAATAATATATACGACATACATGTATATGCGAAGTACTAAGCTATTATGGTTGCAGAACAAGCGGGGCTGTGATTATATAACGGCTTATGTGTAATTTATAACACAGTGGAGAATCACGGTGAAATGAATAATGAGAGAGTGGGGGGCCAGAGAGAGAGAGGAGAGAGAGAGAGAGAGAGAAGGGAGAGAGAGAGAGAGAGAGAGAGAGAGAGAGAGAGACAGAGACAGAGACATGAGACCAGAGACAGAGACGAGAGACAGAGACAGAGACAGCGACAGTAGACAGAGACAGAGATCAGAGACAGAGACAGAGACAGAGACAGAGACAGAGAGAGAGAGAGGAGAGCCGCAGAGAGAAGAGAGAGAGAGCGAGAGAGAGAGAGAGACAGAGACAGAGACAGGACAGAGAGAGAGCCAGAGAGATGACAGAGAGAGACAGAGCGAGAGAGACAGAGAGAGAGAGACAGAGAGAGAGAGACCAAGAGAGAGAGACAGAGGAGAGAGAGACAGATGAGAGAGAGTACAGAGAGAGAGAGAGCAGAGAGAGAGAGAGAACAGAGAGAGAGAGACAGAGAGAGAGAGACAGAGAGAGCAGAGAGAGAGAGAGAGAGAGAGAGAGAGAGAGAGAGAGAGGAGAGAGAGAGAGAGAGAGAGAGAGAGCAGAGAAAAAAAAAATAAAGGAAAAACAAGAGAGAGAGAGACAGAGAGAGAGAAGAGAGAGAGACAGAGAGAGAGAGAGAGACAGGAGAGAGAGAGAGAGAGAGCAGAGA